AAAATGACAATCAGGGTAAAGATTTGTTTTAAAAAAAAATCCTCAGTATTCTATTCCTCCAAATACTGAATTTTCTCAAACATTATAACTAAATTATTTGCAAAATTTGACTTTAAGAAAATACATCCTGTATAAACAATTCCTTTACATTATTACTTCTTAAAATTGGTTGTGTGTGCCCTCAGGGGCACTCAGTGAGTGGTATGTTACAAAGTTACAGGGCACCTGGTACATGCTTCTGAGGGCTTTGGTTTTACTCAGAGACTGTGGAGAGGAAGAGTCATTATTTCTACAGTAAAACAAACAGAAATAGTAAAAAGTAGAACACAAAATTCATAAAACGTGAATTTCATTTCACAAAATGAAATTTGAGACTGAAGAGGGGACTTCATCTCCTAGATTGCTGGGTGCATGAGCACATTTCCCTTTACTCTCAGGGATCTCAACAGCACCAGAGTGACCATCTCACAGCCTACTTCTTTGAGGACTCAGAGTCACAGTGCTCCCTTCTCCAGGCGCATCTCTAAAGAGAGAGCTTTTAACATGCACAAGCTCACAGAGGACCAGTTGTTTATCTGTGTATCTTACATAACACCTGCTCCATAAGATGTATGCAATATTTTGTTGGAAAGGGCATGGCTTTGAATTTAGAAAGATCTGCTGAAACTAGAGTTCAAAAACAAACACAATAACAAAGCTACTCTGGGTTAACTCGTTACACCAATTTTGAAAGACAGATAATATGCAGTCCTGGCTTTCAGTGAGTCTATTCCTCATGAGGCAAGGAGCAAAGGGGCTTCAATGGCATTTCCAAGTATACACTGCTTGCTTTCTCCTTCCTTAGCCCTTGTATGGAACCCTGTCCCAAACAGGAATTGACACTGGACTTTTGAGTGTTAGAGAATTTCCTAAGTAACTATTACTCAACCTGATTCCAGGACCATAATGATGACCACTCCTGGTTACTGGTTTGGGGATATGCATTATGCCTAGCTGACCTTTTAAGTCTACTAGGTCAACTGTGCCACCCAAATGACACCTAACTTGGTTCCTGCCATGTCTTCATTGCCATTATCCTACTTGACAAAGGACTAATCCATTTTCTTTCATCCATTCTGACCCAGCCATTTCCCTAGGTTCTTTGTGTCTTTATGGCTGATTCTCTTCCATCTCACTTTAGAGACAAGAACAACAAATAGGGCTTGCAAGGATCCAACTATGGATCCAGCTGCGCCAAGTCAGGCTACTTGGTGACTCTGGGGTTGTGTTTTCCTCTCTAGCTGATTGAGAGCTGATCTGCGTCTAGGAGGAGGTCTGTCCATTTTTGAAACTTCCTGTAGTCATTGTCCTCAAGAGTATGGCATATTAAAAATAATTCATACATACTCCATTTCCCAGTTTTAGTAACAAAGATTCTAGGTATGAGCTCACCCAACTTTTATCTAGTTTATTACATAGCACAAACATGAAAATAATCTTCTGAAGAGAATTAAGACATTTTAAAAAATGTCATTCTTAGAATCAAGAAGCCACAGGAACACAAAAATTTGCTAAGGAAGTTGCTGATATGGTTTTAAATCCCAAATTACAAATTTCATTTACCACATGTTTGCTTAAAATACACTTCTAAAAGGTTAGAGTAAGTCCCTAATTAGAAATTACTCAACTAACAGCTTGGGTGTTGTTGCAGACCTACTACACCACCAGCATGAGAGCTATGTAGTTCAGCAGAAGGACAACCAAGTGCCATATCCACAGCTATCTCTGCTTCTGGGGTCATCAGCCATGAGCATTAAGCATGGGCGTAGGCCCAGGTCCAGCCAAACCAAGTTTTAGGTGTACATGAACAATAGCCTAATTTTTCAAATGTCTTACAAACACATTTTAGCACACATAGTTTAGTATGGAGACTTATTTACCCTTTCAAATAATAATTGCTTTTAAAGCTTTGGTAACAAAGCTGTAAATAAGCACTTTCCTTAGTGTCTGAAAAGATCAGACTGCTTGGGGAGAGCTAGCTAGTTACACACACCATGATCTTATATCTTTAAAATATTTTCTGCTAAGTTTTTATAATTACAATGATCTTAATACCTTTATGAGATACTATACAATGAACACCTATTGTACTTTATTTTCAAGAAGCAATATGAATGTAATCTAGGGTTACTAACTCAATAATAAATTTTTAATATAGGTTACATTATCTTATCCTAGGAATGAAATTCTTTCTTTTACATTAAAAACATGCTTTAAGGCCGGGCGTGGTGGCTCACACCTGTAATTCTAGCACTCTGGGAGGCAGAAGTGGGCGGATTGCTCAAGGTCAGGAGTTCGAAACCAGCCTGAGCAAGAGTGTTACCCCCGTCTCTACTATAAATAGAAAGAAATTAATTGGCTAACTAATATATATAGAAAAAATTAGCCGGGCATGGTGGCGCATGCCTGTAGTCCCAGCTAATCGGGAGGCTGAGGCAGCAGGATTGCTTGAGTCCAGGAGATGGAGGTTGCTGTGAGCTAGGCTGACGCCACAGCACTCACTCTAGCCTGGGCAACAAAGTGAGACTCAGTTTAAAAAAACAAAAACAAAAACAAAAAAAACCACACATGCTTTAGGGCTCAATTTGCAATGAAGACTTTCATAGGTATATTTATCATTTAAGATACAGCAACCATTTTTATCAGGAACTTTCTTTTAGACAGTTCAAATGTATGTAAATACACTGCAACTTAAAATATTCTCATAAGAAAGTACATTAAAATATCAAAAGTTCTAACATAATATACCTACTCTTCTTTCAATAACATTATCTGTCCATGGCTGGAAAATTTTTATTTTTATACATAAAGATTACTTGATATTGCTCAACACCCCCCCACCCCCCAAAATCCCAACAACAAAACCTCTATTGGTAATGGAAAAGCTGCTTCTCAAAGACTGGACATTATTAACATGAGGAAAATGCTAAGGTATAATAGCTGGGGGGAAAATCAATCAAAGAAAAAGAATGGAAACCATTTAAAAAGTAAAATTTAAAAGGAGTTGTAAAGAAGGGTACAGAGAGAAGACAACAGGGGAAGGAATTCAACAGAAATAGACAATACTGATTCTGAAATCTAGAAATCCAAGCAAGAGTCTAGGAGAGGACTAGCTTTCATATAGCAAGATTCACAGTTTTCAAAATCTAGTCAAAACCTAAAAACATTTAAGCGTCTATTTGTATTTTAAGCTAGAAATTAAAAAAAAAAAACAAAAACAACTAAAACGAACTAATCTACATTTAAGAGTTATATAACATTAAAAGACAGGTATAGGCATTAAGACCAGCAAACAGGAGGTTAATCTTGAGACTCTTACTTTCTTTTGTGGTAGTGTATCACCTTGTACCTCACACTGAGGCCAGTTTAACAACCCCCTGTAAAAGATAACACAGCACAGCCCCTATGTCAAATGGGCAGCTTAGGAACTCCCGGAAGGCTTAGCTGGCATCTTTCCTGTGCTAGAGGCAAAGAAGCATTTGCTTGAGTAGTAAATTTCCTGGATTTTGTTGAGCTTCAGCCAAAACAGTTGTTCCATATAATCAATATCATAGCTGAATCCTATGGAGGACTAGTATTAATCACAGCTAACATTTAGGGAGCACTTCCTATGTGCCACTCCTATTTCAAATGCTTTCATTTCATCCTTACAATCCTATAAGGGAAGTACTATTCTTTTCCTCAATTTACATATGAGGAAACAGAGCAGTGAAGTAGTAATTTTCAGCTGAGATCCAACTCTGAGCTCTGTCCCCCCTTCATGGCCCTGCCATTCCCCACTGTGAAAGGTACTACACAGGAAGTAAAAGGAAAATATTTCTGGAAATTTATAATAAACATTCTAAAATGCCAGTGTGATCTATGAGATAATAGTGCTCTTAAAGCCCCAAGTAAATCATTTCGTGGCTTAAAGCACACACACATGCACACACCTAAGTGTATAAAAACCTGAGATAAAAAATTATGCATGCTATTTAAAGTGTCTTCAAATGTCTATACACTTTCTTAATCTTATACACAAGGTTTATATCAGAAAGTGCCTGAAAATTGAAGAATGGCTAAGTAAGGGCTACTTGTTCCTTGTTAGATTAGAATATGCTCTGAGTCTGAAACCACCAAATTATTTTTTATTAAGCATAAAATTGATGATAATTAGAAATGCTAAGAAACAAATGAAAAACTGTATTATATAATAAAGAACTTCTCAATTCTGCATCCCCTATAACCTCAGGAAGGAAATAAAGCAGGAATACAGTTGTTAGATGGCTTTCATGCTAGTGAACTGGTTTCATCCCATGAGGCTACCTCGAGTCAGGAGTCAAGAATTGAAGACTGTCTCTGCCACCAATTTGCTATCTTAATTTACACAAATCTCTTCATTTTTCAGCTCCTTAGTGTTCTGACCTACCAAATGAGAATAATATCTGTTCTACCAATTTCATTCAATTGAAATGAACGTACGGCGACAGCAATGATGCTAGTCTATACGGAGAATTACTACTGATTGGCTACTGTGGGGGATATGCTATTTGATCAGTTGAGTTAGGAAGGGCAGGGTGTACAGTGGCACTTTTCACTTTTTCAAACTGCTATGGTGCTGGACTTATCCTTTGAGCCTTATAACTACCTTGGAAATAAGTAGGACAAGTATTAATAGATAGAGAAAGAAGTATGGGGCAGTTATGTGGCTAACCTCATGTCACACAGCTTGTTAGGGACAGGGCCCAGAAATATAGTTTTCCCAACACCTAGTCCAGTGTTTTGTTTTGTTTTGTTTTGTTTTTTTAACTCTGCTGGCTCAACTGTAGTGCCTATTGGTTAGGAAGGATAGAGCAAGGACTACTGAGGTCTCCACTCTGAGTAAATCCAACAAAGGTGCACACATCCTGAACTGATGAATTGGGGAAATCAACTCTCTTTGCTGACTTGAAGCTTAGAGTTTGTGGAATCAAGCCACCAACCTTGATTTCTGGGAGCTGCATAACTTCAGGAAAGACTTCGATGCAATTTGAGTGAGCAATCACTGTGTGCATACGCCTGCAATTCATGATAGTTGTTGGGATGGCTTTCAGTTTATTCCCACTTATATCAATTTCTTCAAGTTCCTCCAGTTTTGCCATTTTACTAAAAAAGAGAAAAATTCATGGGGGAGAGTTATAAAATAATTATAAGGCAATTAAAAGAAATAATATATAATGAGAATCAAAAGATGAATTTACTATGCCTTTAAAGATTCACTTGTAATAGTTAATCTTACAACCAAGATAATTTTTCACTATTGTTTTGGAGTATTCAAAGCATTTTAACACCTCCTTTCCTACCACAGAACAAAAACTATTAACTAACTCTTCAAATTGGCAACAAGAAGGAAAATGGATGCCCTTTCCTCCTAAAAATCTGTGATAACTTAAGTTATCCTGGCAATAATCACTTTGCTATGTAGCTTACTCTAAAACACTAATGAAATCCTACTTAAATGGATCAAAAGCCAGCATTAATCCATTATAACTACCTTAAAAAAACTTAGTTTGAGAGTATGATTTCTTTGTAGTGGCACTGAAATATCAAGGGACATAGAGAACACGGCTATAGCTCAAATTAAGATACGCTTTTCCTTGAAAGCCCCTCCCAAATCCTCAGGCACCAATGATGAACACAGGCTGGTGACGGGAGCAGGTGCAGCTGAAAGGCCTTTGGATCATCTCTTGGCTTCTGGCAGATCCTGTATTCAAACCAGGCCCCAAAGAAATTTCTCTCAACTCTTGTTAAATGTCTTCAAAGAAGATCTCTCCAACCTTGCCTAAATAACGTCTTCTAATGTAATTTAACACTTCTGAATGTCTTTTACTATTCAATCTTTGTCTATAATCTTAATAAGTACAGAAACCAACTAAAGAAAAATTTGAGAATCAGAGTTCTTGCATTGTCTATAAATTGGAGGAAAAAACAACCCCTCCACCTCTGCAATCTCTGACCCTCTCCCTACACTGGTGATGCTGGACTCCAAGAAGTACAGGATTCCCAGATAGCGTAACTCAAACTTATAATCCAAATCACTTAGTTTACAGTTATTGGTATCCTTTCAGCTTGTTATAGTTTCACTTGTTACAACACAAATGAAACAACTTAACCTTTAAACAACTTAACAGAAATACTTCATAATTTTTCTTTGTTATCTTTCAATTCTTTATCTTTCAAATACAAAGGTTATCTTATTTGCTTATCTTAAAAACAATCAACTCTCTTGCTGACTTGAAGCTTAGAGTTTGTGGAATCAAGCCACCAACCTTGATTTCTGGGAGCTGCATAACTTCAGGAAAGACTTCGATGCAATTTGAGTGAGCAATCACTGTGTGCATACGCACACAGTGATTGCTATGTGCCTAAGATACAACAAGAACTAAGTTTTGATCTCATGAAATCAGATCTTTTAATATCATCCAATGTGATATCAGGATATACTACAAACAACATTACATACACAGACTGTGAAGTAATCCACCTATGATTGCCTGAATTTGTAAGAATATTATTTAAATATGTTGTCATCATATTTTGAAAAGAAATATGGAGAAACTAATGGGTAATGCTGCATAAAAAATGATTAGAAGTACAGAAAACAGGCCCAAGAAAGAAAAAGTTAAGGAAGTTTCATCTCTCAACATAGAAAGAAGGTAGCAAAAGACTTGATCACTGGGGCATGTTCTTTAATTAAGCAACCATTTGTTGAGTGTTGACTGTGGGCCAGGCCTTGTGTGAGCTATGAGGCTGAAGGAGACAAAGAAAGTCATAAACCCAGCTCGAGGTGCTCGGCCACATCACAGCCCCCCGGGGAAGAGAATTATTGCTAGGTGGATTTTTACAAGGCACATAAAAAACTTCTCTGCACTTGGGGTGGGTGATTATACCTGGCATGGGGGACATCCTCAGCATTAGAGCTGAGGATCATTTCTCCTGCGGGGCTTATACATTCACCACCTGAGAGAGGATGATGAGCCTTTCAGATGTGTTACTGCTGTATGATTGCCATGGTTTTTTTCCCCCAAAATATTTTATTCCCATTCCATAGTAAAGTAAAAGTATATGGAAGTAAACATAAAATAGTTTAATCATTAATATCAAATGGGTGGAAAATTTTTTAAAAATATTTTATTACACCAAAAACAGAGTAATATTTTAAGTCAGTACATAATTTGGGCTGTCTTCCTGTTAGCAAGGGCTTACACAGACTGGTAGCCCTGTTGGCAGCATAGGGAGGCTGTGTGAGTATTTTGATTTGGTCCCAACACTGAGTTCCAGTTACGAGCAGAATACCAGAGGGGTTAGTGTTTGCTTCTTTGATGTGTGGGTGTGTTCCAAGTCCTAACTTGTTAGATGGATAAATGCCAATGAAATGGAAGTGGAGCAAATCCTCATGGCAGACTCTGTAAATTCACTTAAGGGCTAAATGTAATGCCACCACTCCCCCCAAATTAGACATTAAAATGAAAACGAATTAAAAATGGAATCTTCTGAGAGCCATAATATGCAATGTCACAGTTTGTGTGGTTGTACAGGCCACCATTGCTTTGTACAACATGAACACAGATGCAAAAGTTGGTAGATAACAAAAAATCTTCAGGTTCCTGGTTTACATTTTAATTCCTACCATATTAGGTTAACTTTAAAAAAAAATTAACTGGGTTAAAAAGAAGTAAAAAAAAATTACCTGCTAAACAACACATCTTCAAAATCTTAAGAACATTTTTATGATTGAATCTTTGGATACATTCATACTGAGAAAACCAATATATTTCTCTTTTGGGAAATACCCAAATACTTTGCATAAAAGACAACTGTGAACAAACAGGGAATAAGCGAACAAGCTTTACATTACCTGGAAAATAAATATTTCAGCTTTTGCCTTTCCCCTTTCTATCTATGCATACATTTTTAGAAATGCAATTAAGAACATCACTTTATAACCCTCCTTTACCTTGCTGGAAAACTTTGAAGTCGGTTATAGGCCATGTGAAGAATCTTCAGATGGGGGTGTCCTGTTAACAAGGGTACACATTTATCCGTGAGGCTGTTATTTGTCAAATACAACTCTTGTAAGATACTGTTTGTCTCTTCACAAAGTGTGGCTGGAGGAAGGGTTTCCAGTTTGTTTGCAGATGCATTCAGGAATCTCAGGCTACAATGACAAAATGCAATAAAATGCTGTTGATAAGCCAGAGCTCTAGTTCAGAACCCTCAACAAACCTACAGGCTTTCTGATCAATACCAGGCATATTAGAAGTTGGCTTTGGAAACATGAATGAAAAGATAAGCCCTGGCTTCCAGGAATTCAATTTAGTAGGCATATGGATCTCTGACTCACTATCTATGATAGATACAATAGTTATCTATATGCATCCAATACAAAAAAATAAAAATCAATTTTTATGGAAGCACAGAGGTAAAAAGATGAGATTATTTTTTTTATAGCTGGTGGACAGTGAAAGATAAAGTAGTATGGTAAAGTTAATATTCTGACTTAAGAGAAAAACAATTCCTTATTTTTTAATAAGAGGGTTCTTATAGTAATAAAACAATTAGGCATTAGATCACAATACAACTAAATCATGTAGTGACTAGGTTCTTTTCAGTATGATGTCCAAATCACATTTTACAGGCATACATTCACAACTGCAGGAGATAATTTACTCTGTATTAAAATATCAGGATACAATGAAGCAATGAACACAAAGAACCACAACTACGTTCATCAACAAGATGAACCTCACAAATATAATGTTTAGCAAATGAAGCTGGACACAAGACGACACACCGCACAATTCCATAATTATAAAGCTCAAAGTCACGCAGAATTAATCTATGGTAACAGAAGTCAGAATGGTGGTGACTCTTAGATGTTGAGGGCAAGAGTATCTAGGAGACGGTGTGCAACATTTCTAACTTCGTAATTTTCTGTTTCTTTGGGTGCAGGTTGCACAAATGTGTTCACTTTGAGAAAATTCACCAAGTGTTGCACTTATGATTTGGCCGCTTTTCTGTATTTATATTATACTTCAATAAAATTTACATTAAAACAAACGAGATAACACATATGCTGTCACAGTTTCCAGATGATAGAGTGAACAATGGATAAAATACAAAGAACAGTTTCACACCTAAGATAACTAAAACCTTCAAAAACTATATAATCCTCCACAGTTGGGAAACGTAGATAACACACAATGCAAATCTAGGGAACTGCAACAAAATCTTTGCTGTGATCAGGTTCCAAATCACTCTGAAGGGATGGGAAGGGCAGAGCCGGGATGGACTGTGTCATGGCTCAGGTCAGAGAGGACCCTCTCCGATGCAGGTGGATGTCCAACTGTGCAGCCGCAGCAACTAGGAAACAGAGAGTGCTCAGTGCACAGGACTCACCGGTGAAAGTCAGTAGGGTCAAATCTGCCTTGTCTTTCCACCCAGAGATATACCCTGTTAACAAGCCTCTCTGTTCTCTCATTTCAAAATCAACTTGGTTTGAAATGTTCAGGATTCAATTCAGGACTATTCTGCCATAAGTTAGAAATAAAAATAAAATCATCCTTAAAAAGGGAGAATATGGAATACTAGGTACAGTGATGTTTAATCTTGGATTTTAAAAAAGGCCTTATATTAGAAGTTTTTACCAGGACTCCTAATATAGTCCAAGCTCCCGATCCATTACTTTAGCACTACTCAATCTTGCACAACCTACACAACTTACACACACGTGCACATACACCAACTCCATTACTTATCTGAGGAAAAGCAGCTTCCCCAAAATAGAAAATTTTCCATTAAAGAAACACGTATTCCGTTGACATTTTTAAAAAAGGGGGGGAGGAGTTAGAGAAGGGCTGTACAGACCATAAATAGTCATGGGAAATAATAGTCGTATGTGCTACAGAGAAGAAAATAAAGGTCACTCATGCAGTTTCTGAACTGGTTTTGAACTAGGAAGGAAACTAGCTTCAGCACCATAGGACTTTAGAGTATTTTCACAAGTCTGTTTCTTCAGGTCCCATTTATTCCTTCTGACTTAAATTTCCTGTTAAGAATTTCATCAGTGTAGAATCAGAATATATTAAAATGAAACAAATACATTTTATTGCCCTAAAATATCGTGGACTAGGGTTGGCTAGGAAACCATCTAACAATCCCATTAAAATAGAATTCTCTAGGAAATACGTAGTTATAGACACATAAAAAGAAAAGAGAATGAATTCATGAATGTTTGCATATTTTTAGGCCAGAAAAAGAGGGAATGCTGTTTTAAAAATATATACAAATGAATGTTCATCTAGAAAGCTGCCAAGGGACTTAAAAACCCCTTCTATCATCTGCATAAAGGGAAGAAAGTGATTTCCAAAAAGACTTATCCTCTTGTCTTTTTGAAATTTTCCTGTACTTAAGGAACTATATATACTCTTTATGCAAAATTAAGGGGGGTGGGGAAGTCCTACATTGTCCCCCTCCAAGGAATTGAAACTAAGTTAGCTGAAATTACATGGGCTAGTTCCAAAGGACATTATTTGAACTATATAAAGTCTGACTGAATCACCTTGTTGGTTAACAAAGAGTAAACAATTGTACTAAAAAGATTTTTATCACAATGGTCTCAGGAAAATTAAATTTAATATCCACCTTTTAAAACACTCTCTCCACAACCTCACAATGTTTCAGCAGGAGACTAATTAAACTGATTTAATGGTCTAGGTGTCATCCTTCCACCAGAATGAATGACCACTTTGATTTTACAAAGTTTCTCCAGTATGGATAACAGTTTTACTCAATAAATGAACTTTAGAACCACACCCCCTACTTTTAACCCTGTAAAAAAGCAAAATTCCTAAAGCACCGAGTTTGGTTTCAACTCACTATGATGCAATTAACTATCCTCAAGCTTCTCCTTTACAAAATTTTGTAGCTGTATGCAAAAAGATGTTTTAATGTGCCAAGAGATGTTTCCCCCATATAACCTTTCTCCCTATGTAACTCTCTTGTAATTACAGAAAAGGCAGTAACATGAAATCACTGCTTTCTTTTCATTTATAAGGTGCTTTGTAAGATTCCCTAGATCTTCCCTATTTTCTATCTCACTGAATTCTCCCATCATCTTAAATATACCACCCTCACATTTCACAAAAGACAGAAACTGAAGCTGAGAAAGTCAAATTGCTTGGGAATGGTTCAATAGTAACTAGTGGCAGAGCCAGAAATAAAACCCAGTCCTCAACAATCTGAAGAGTCCACAATTCTCAAAAATACTTCTCCAAAATTCAAACATTAAAATAATAATAATAACGAAAACCTTTTCCTGGGGACATTTTCATAGGTCCCTTTTCTCCAAAAAGGCAAGAGGTCAAGCACGGCACCTGCTAGGTGACAAGAAGACCATTTGTACACAGCACTTCAAACTCAATTCTTCAACCAAGTTAGTAAATAGCATAGTACTTAGAAACTTTTCTTGGCATAAAGTGCAAAAGTCATAGAGAAAAGATACACAGATATGGTTCCTGCCCTGAGGCATCTGGAAAGTCGCCCATAACAGCAGTGAGACAAATCCATTTCCTGCTTCTTGAGCAATTGCTCTGTTCCTCTGCCTTGGCACATTCTGTCCATCTGGCTCATGTATGGGTTTTTTTTTTGGTGGTGGTGGTGGTGGTGGTGTTTTGTTTTGCTTGATTTTCAGTAATTTCCAGCACACCCTTACATTTTGCAGCCAAATTCTGTCCTTGAAACAGAGCACAGGATTTTGTACCATGACAGATTTAGTATTTACAAAATAGGCACACCAGGCATTCGGCATTTAAGTGACTTTTCTGGAGATCAGTATTAGGCCTTGTATTCCATTAAAAATCCAAATGGTTAAAACCAAACAAAACTCTCCTGGTTTCTGTCTCCAAAATGTCCTAGAAGTATCAAACAAAATGCTTTGAATTTCTTATTGCCTGTCTTTACAACACAACACTTTTGACAATTTCATCTACCATCACAACGTTCATTAGTTCTTAAAGGAGAGGCCTTCAAACTTTTTATGATGGGAACCAACAGTACAAAGTATATTTTATGTGACCAGACAGTATACATGTGACATATACACGTGTAACTGAAACAAAAAGTTTCGTGACACTTTGGGAGATTGAGGTAGGAGGATCATTTGATGCCAGGAGTTCAAGACCAGTCTGGGCAAGATAGTGAGACCCTGTTTCTATAAAAAAATTTAAAAGTTAGCCAACCATGGTGATGTGCACCTGTAGTCCTAGCTACTCAGGAGACTGAGGCAGGAGGATCACTTGAGCCCAGGAATTTCAGATTACAATGATCTATGACTGTACCACTACACTACAGCCTGCGTGAAAGAGTGAGACCCTCTTCAAAGAAAAAAAAAGAAAAAAAGATTCATGAAATAATACTTAATCTTACTCTGTGATACACACTGGTATTTTCTATCCTATTTAATTTTTTTAAGTCCTGGTTGTAACCTACCACATTAATGTTATACATCTCACTAATCAGTCTGAAAAAAGGAACACAATTATTTGTCTAGCAATATCACCTAACAGTGGGGACTGCAAATGAAGAAAAAGTGCATACAATCTAACAGAACCTACATCACCATTATTTTTGAAGGTCTGAGAATCTGGCTTGGACAATAAAGACTATATGCCTACAGGAAAAATGGCAAAAATTATACAGATTTAAGAATTGTTGAACAAGGACTCAAAAATCAATTTTAAAGATTAATTAAAATGAATACTGATGCAATACTTTAATCTACAGACTTTATCCTAGTTGTACCAATTATTCCATTAATGTCCTTTATCTGGTCTAGGATCCAATTCAGGGTCTCACCTTGCATGTCTTAGTTTCCTCCAATCAGTCTTACTATCTTAAATGACCTTAACACTTTTGAAGAATATTAGGTACTTATTTTGTAAAATATCCCTCAATTTAGGTTTGTTTCATGTTTTATCATCATTAGAATACGGTCATATATTTTTAGAAAAAATATCACAGAAGTTGTGCCCTTCTTAGTGTACCATATCAGGAGGTGCATGATATGAATGTCTTATTATTGGCAATATTAATTTTGATCACTTGGTTAAGGTGGTGCCTGCCAAGTATATTCACTGTAATTGTTTTTTCTTTTATAAT